AGGGATGATTAAGCATCTTCTGTGCAACTCAGGACCTTGGTAGGGCATGCACAGACCTGCCTGTCTGCAGAGGGATGATTAGGCATCTTCTGTGCAACTCAGGACCTCGGTAGGGCATGCACAGACCTGCCTGTCTGCAGTGGGCTGATTCGGCGTGTATTCCGCAGGACTGGGGACCTCGGTAGGGTGTTGAAACATTTTGTATTTTGTATTTAAGGATACTAGTCTCATACCATTCTAGACCTGGCCAAGGGAAATAAGAAACCCGTCAGGCAGCCCAAGAATCCTGCCTATGTATTGAGTGCATCAATACTGAGCACTGACTATCATTTAAGAATTTTTTTAAAGCAAAACATCTTCATGTTTGCTTTTATCATTTTGCAGAATACAGAATGATTTGGGAAATTCCGGACATTCACTTCTGAGTAATGTCTATCTTGGTGAGGATCAGAGAAAGGTAGAACAGCAGCCTGAGAGGACAAAACCTTGGAAGAAACCTCAGCGGGTGCAGCATCACCTGTGCCCAGAGCTGCTCCACCAGTCAGGTGGGGAACAAGGTCGATGCCTGGACATCTTACCTGAGCGAGGTCAGCCTGCAGCCAGAGAATAGCGGGCTAATACTGGTGTTCTTCATCAGAGGCCTAAGCTGGGGAGGATGGAGGGGGAGGTGAGTGAGAAGGTTGAGTAGCTATGGAAATAGGAGGAGTGGGCTGCAAACACCTCTGTGCTCTCACCAGGTGCTGCAAGATCACCTTGATTATGTTGAACCTGAGGGATCCGGGACAGTCCATATCTGGCATGGACTGCAAGTTCTTGATGGTGAGGTTGATGGTAAAGGGCACCAGAGTAGGGCTCATGGCTGCAAAAAGAAAAGCAGAAAAGAGAAATTGTAGTGAAGCCTCCCAAGTTCTCTGTCAAGGGCATCTTCCAGGGAGACCCTGCCCTCCCACAGGGAGTCCGCTTCTCCACCAGAGGGCGCCAGCGAGCTGGACTGGAGATCCTGGGAAGATGGGAACCACATTTAGAGTCCTATGCCACCAGGGTATCCCACATGCTTGCTCAGAATTGGAGTCAGGAGAAGTAAATGCAAGGTTAAAACTGGGGAAAATACACACGATTGCCATTCACTTATTTTAAAAACTAAGCAGGAGAAATTAATATTAATGATAAATAAAAATTTTCATGCCTCCTTCCCTATAATGATAGGAAGCTCTGAGCGAAAGCCTATTAAACAATACTACCTAAGTGCAGAATAAGGTTTTGGGTGCATATTCAGTGATTTGTCATGTCAAGTGTTCTATTTCACTTGTTATCACCATTGTCATCACTGTCCCCACCATTTCATGACCACGTCGTTATCAGCACCATTGTCATCACCATCACCATCATCACGAAGAGAACCATCCCAGCAGCAGCAGCAGCATCACAGGCACTGTCATCATAACCACAGCATTATGAGCTCTCTGAGGACAGAGATGAGCTCCTCTCCCTGATGGATCCCTGGACCTAGCTCAGGTGAAACCAGGATTCAGTTGAGGTGGTGGCCTGATTCCTTATGCGTAGCTTTGCTGTGAGCTTTCCATCTCTGAGTGAGCCACGTGAGAGGTATTTGTAGGATCAGGCCTGTTTCTCACAGAAGTGCCAGGCACTGGTACTTACCTGTGGGGATGGAGGTGGAGAAAGGATCCCTGCAGGTTCCCAGGTCCAGTGTGGAGGTCCCAGGAGCTGAGGAGAAGCTCTTATGAGTGAAAGCTCCAAGGCATTCTCTGGGATGACATCAGCAGGAGAGATTCCTTATGGGCCTTGCTGCACATGGGGCTGAGATGGGACTGCTCTGAAGCTGGGGAGGCATGGAGGGTAAGTAACTTTTCCCCCACAGCCTTTGGTCCTTAAGAAGACATCATGGGGCATGAGAAGGGGTCAGCTCCTGCTCTGCCTGCTGTGGGGATATCAGTTGAATACTCACTGCTGGTGAGGAGTGCAGAGCCCCGATGCATGAATCCTGAAGTGAGGAGAGGACAGTGGGTTAGGATAAAGGGAGAAGTAGGTACCAGAGGGACAACATGGTGCAGGGGGAGGACATTCATAGAGCATGATCTGTAGAACTTTTTATCAGGATGCTCACTGCAGGGAAAAGGCTCTGAAGAGGAAGCTAATCCAATCATGAGGTCCCTAAGAGTCAGCACACAGAGAACACATAGCCAAGGCTTCAAGGGCCAGGTTGGCAAGGAGAGACAATCCAGAGAGGAGAGTCCACTCAGCATGGAGGAAGAGACCCGAGCCACATCCTGATGCTCACCATTGACTTGGAGACTCTCTCTAGGGTGTAGAGGTCCAGGAAGGTGACACTATGGGTCATCTTGCTCATCCCCATACAGCCACTCCAACCAGTCTGAAACCTTGAGTTCCAGGGCTATGTAACCAAATGGTGTCCGTTTTCATGGCTTCTCTATGCCTCTCAGTCCTGGTAAGCACCACACATGGTTGATCCAAGGATCTCTACATCAGTTTCTCTACATCTCTCTCTCTCTCTCTCTCTCTTTCTCTCTCTCTCTCTCTCTCTGCCATCCCTAATGAGGATCTTGGTAAACACTAGCTAATAAGGAACCTACTGTCTTCAGGGAAATCCACACATATTAAGAATTATCATGCCAGCCAGCCCTCACTGAGCTGGCAGAAGCCTCCTGAAGGCCTGGAGGCCCGGATGATACAATAATGTGGGTGCTCTCCTTCAGAGCCAGGGCTCACATGATGTCAGAGAAGTCCTCACATGGATTCTGATGGACACACAGAGGTTCTGCAGGCTGAATTGCAGTGGATGGCAGAGGCCTTAGGAAACTGATCAGAGCAATTGATCATAGCATCATGTGTGACACTTCCTCTTAGAGGTGGGGTTGTCAGAAACCTTAATTTGCCAAGTTAGATCTTGTGGCTCAGCCAGGTTAGGACATTACTACAGAAATGCAATGATGCCAAACAGGCTGAGAGAGATCCTTGTTTGGTGAGTGTGTCTTGTAACATGGCTGGTCCAACCTGAGGTCTAGATCCCTTCATGGCCCAGAACCTATCCCTTTCTAGAGGACAATGACCACCTACTCAGCCACGCATATATTATTGGACAATTCAGAGGCTCTTAAGAACCAGAAATATGGAGGGTGCCACCTAGAGCAACAGTTACCTGCAGTCCAAAACTCACTGCTCACAAGATGCTGAACTTTGTACATACAGTCACATATCTCAGACTAAAGGCAAACTTATGGGCTGACATTATTTAATTCTCACAATAAGCCTGCTTTATCGTATATGTAGCACAATTCAATATCATTGAATGTGTTCAATATGTAAATATATGAGATATGTTTCTTTTATTTTTTATATGTTACCACATTACCTTCAATAAAATTATATTCTATGTCATGCCATTCTACCTATACCTATTATTTATGTTTAAATATTTTATTAATTTTGTTCAGCTAGCTACCATATATATTTAGTAGATAATATGTGGTACATGCTAAAGCTCTATTGCCAAATGCTGTATATACATATACATCATGTATATAATTTACATATATAGCTCTATGTTTATATAGCCATATATGTTTCATGTGGTCATGTACTAAAACTATACGGCAGCATATGAGTATGTTTGTATATGTCTCCAGATAGATAACTATTATGTATACATGCATATATACATATATATCAATCATATGTCATACCTCTCAGGAGTCAGATAGGAACCCCCATATATACCTAAATCCTTTGATCCTTAAATCCCTAGTAAGAGATGAGGTAGTTTTTACACAACTGTGCACACTCTTCTGCACGTTAGACATCTCTAAGTTCCATGTAACATATAATTCAGTGACATGTTTTTAGCTCTCATCTTGTTTTGTTCAGGAAATAATAATGATAACATGGGAAGTCTGATGATCTGTTCTGGTATAATTCCTTTTTCTGAGTGATTTCAGTTATTACTTAGTTGAATCCACATTTCTGGATCCCACTGATAAACAGGGATGGGTATAGAATGAGGAATCAGGGAACAGGCAGCTGTAAGCTGGAGCCCAGAGTCATAATCACGGACCTCAGTAAAAGTCAAAGCTGTGACTCAAGCTTCGATTGCTCTGATCTCACTCAGGGTCTTAGTCCCTACATCCCCTCTCATCTCTTTCCTTGCAAGAAAACGAAGCTGGGGGTAGATGAATGCGACAAAATAGAAACCTTTGAGAGCAAGACCCCTGGAGATATATATATATATATACATATAATTTTCTCTCTTTTTTTTTTGAGACAGTCTCACTGTACTTCAGGCTGGACTTAACTCACTTTGTAGCCCAGTATGTTCTTGAACTCGTGGCAATCCTCATGCCTCAGCTTCCCAGTGCTGGGATAGATCTAGAGAGTCTGTTAGTGCCATGTAGGAGGTGAGAATGCAGGTTTGGAAACATGGACCCTCTTTTGCTCCAGGTGTCCTGCCACTTGGGCTGTGCATTTCATGAGGAGGGCCTCACCTGAGCAAAGCTATTCTGCAGCTGGCATAGAGAGCTCCCACACTGCTGCTCTTGAGCAAGGGTTAGAGCTGTGAGGAAACAGAGGAAATGAGGCAGAATCACTCAAAGAGCAGACAGGGCCTTAGGCACTGTGGAGAGGCACTGGGCAGGGGTTAGGTGTGTGGGCCTGGAGAGAGTGGATGTGGCTTGGGGTGAGATGAGTGTGGTGTGGGGTGATGAGGTTGGACCCGCACAGGGCTGAGGGTCATGGCAGGGCCTAAATAATGTGGGCAGGCCCAGAGTGGGTGGCGTGGCTTAGCCCCCATGGGCCGGGCTCTCACCAGTTTCTGCAGGACTCTCTCAGTGAAGTTAAACTTCTTGGACACAGGGTGATTCGTGTCCTCCTCGTACAGCAGGTTGAGGATGGTAAAGTTGATGGTGAATGGCACCAGGAGAGAGATGGCTGCTGCAGTGGGAGTGGGAGAGAGACAAGCACTGAGCCCATGCTAGCCGTGTGAGCCTGAGACTGGGTCACATCCTGTGTGTAACTTCAGTCACTGGGAGCCTCTTCCTCTAGGATAGACAGGTCCTCCTCAGGCAGGGAGCTCCTCTGTCAGCACTAACCAAACTGCATCGAGGGTAAGTATGGACAATTGCTCTGTAGAGGTAAATACACTGCCAAGCTGAAGGCAAATAGATCTGACCTTCTGGGGAACAAAATTCCCACATTCTCTTTTCTGAAGTTTTAACCCCAATTACTGTTCTCAAATCCACATATAGAGTGACTTTTTAAAATTTAAGAAACAAGTAAATTCCACTTCATTGTTCAGGCTCTGCTGTGATAGATTTAGACCCCTGCCCCCCCCAAAAAATTGCAATATATTGGCCTCATTGCTTTTAAGGGAGCAAGCAACCTCAATATCTGTCTCTCCCTCTTCCTCTTGATATCTGCTTTCTGTTTCCTGTCCTGTTCCCTTCTCTCCTATGTCCTTTCCTTCTTTTCTTTCCCCTCTTTTCTGAAAATGTTTCTTAGTCTCTCTTCTTTGTCTCCTTTCTTTCTTTTCTGGATCCCCTCAGTATTTCCCTTGGACTCTATATGTCTCTGTCTTTGTTTTTCTGTCCTCTTCTCTCTTCTTCACCCCAACACCTCTCCACTGTCTCTTGGCATCTCTGTGTATCTCTCAATATTTCTCTCCCTCTCCCTCTCCCTCTCCCTCTCTCTCCTCCTGGTCTATTTTCCCCCTGTCCTCCCTCTCCCTCCCCCTTCTTTCCATCTGCCATTACTTGTCTGATGGAGGCCAGGCCAAGGGGAAGCTGCCCTCCCTGTATTTTCTCTTGCCTCCCTCTCTGATCTCCTAGACACTTGAACCCTGCAGCGCTGGAGGCCTGGAGTCTGTGGAGGGTTTCCGGGCAGGCCTGGTGCTGGCTATTGCCAAGCAGCCATTACACTCACTAACGCTGATCAAATAGGGCTGCTCAGGGAGCCTGCAGCAGGGCAGAACCCTCCAGATACTTTCCTGCTGGGAGGCCAAGAAATCTGAGGAAATAAAAAGTAGTGAGGGCAGAGGCAGCAGGAGGAGGCTCAGAGGCGAGGAAGTTATTTTTATTCCCCCTCTTAAACATCACAGGGAAGCAAGAATGTGAGTTGTACAAAGTAGAGCCCGGAAGACAGTGATCTGGCTGTGTGACCAGGCTCTGGACTCTTGCTGAGCTGCTAAGAACTGAGTCAGCCTGTGCTGGTTTAAACCTGGTTTTCTAGATTCCAGCTCCTCAAGACCAGGCTGCCTCCATTGTATCTGACATTGGACCCCTGAACTTGGGAGGGTGGAGACTGGTGCAGAAGAGCTCCTGGTGGCTGCCCCTTTCCGTGATGGGCTCTCTGGTTTTGGTAAAAGCTTGAAGTGGGCTGTACATTTCCTTTCTCTGCTTGCCATCCATCCAGTAAACTTCTACTATCTAATATAAACTAGATTCTGTGGTAGAAACCAAGAATTAGATTATTATTACTATTAAAACAGCAACAAAAACAATGACTACTGAAATAATCCCTACTCTGGACCTCCTACTTATTTTACCATATAGAGCCTCTTCTCCTTCCCTTATCTTATGGAGGAAGAAACAGAAGGGCAGAGACTCCCCAGGTCCCTCAGCTGAGCTGGGATTTGAACCCATGCTGTCTGGCTCCAGTACTCTCCATAACCTTGGGCCTTGTCACCCTCATGCAACACACAGTGGAGTAGGGGGGAACACACAATTAACAAGCAAGGTAATTTCAGATATTTCAACACTCAACAGATTCTGGATCAGGGTATATTTCTTCCAGTATTTTCTTTTCTTTAGCACTACTTTATTGTTTCAGAGAAAAAATACATGGTACACATCTGCTACACACGTTTGACAGGAAGTGAGCAAAACCATGGTTCACATTTTAATGACTGCATTTCACTTAGATCTCACAAAGAAAAGGCCATTCTTTATCAGTGTCTTAGATACTGGAGAAATA